ATTTGTAAATGCTGAGAATTTATATTTTTTTGTTAACTGAGACTATAGTATATATGTTTAGAGGCTAATCAGACTGGTCTGAACACAGCCCAATTATTTATTTACAGTATAATGAAAAATAGAACTTTGGACTTTCAATTTTTTGTACTGGATACAATTTATTTAATTTATTGGAGATTGTGTCCGATACAAAATATAATTGCTATCCAAACTATATTTAAACTAAGTTAAAGCCATTTTGTATATATGTTTAGAGGCTAGTCGGACCGGCCCAAACACAGCCTGATTATTATTTATTTATGATGAAAAATAGGACTTCAGACTTTTAATTTTATACTGAACACAATCTATCTAATTGTGCCGATATAATAGTTTAAAACTAAAGCCGTTTTTGTATATTTCTAAAAATAATAAAAGCTATTTTTGTATTATAACCAATTATTATAACAACAATGTCAATGTTATTAAAATTCGTCTGAATGCTTGCCCAATATGCTTGGTGTGTTTGATTTGTGTAAAAGTTTATAGAAAAGACTGTTCTTGATATCAAATTAGCTTTTATAATAAATATATTACACGAATAGGTACTAATATTAAAAAAATTAGATAGATCAAGAAGTTGTCGATTGGACTAAATATTCAAGAACATTAAAACAACATACAAGAGACTCTAAAAATTCATACTTGCATCCTGATAGAGATCAAGAACACCAAAACAATACACCAAAGACGCTAAAGATTCATGCTAGTAACTCCAAAGATTCATACTAAAGACTCCAAAGACTCTTCCAAAGATATCAAAATTTTATATCAGAGATACCAAGCAAATCAAGAACACCAAATCAAGAACGTCAAAACAACAATATACCAGAGACTCCAAAGATTTATATTTGCATCCTGATAGAGCCCCAACCCCGCTCTATCACATCTTAACTGGCCATTATTTTGTTAGGTCTGATAGGATGCTAAGATTCATGCTAGGAACTCCAAATATTCATACCAGGAACTCCAAAGATTCAAACTAGAGATACCAAGAATTTATATCAGGAATATCAAAAATTCATAACAGAGATGCCAAAAAGAATGTCAAAACAATATACAAGGGACTCTAAAATTCATACTTGCATTCTGATAGAGCCCCAACCCGCTCCATCACATTCTAAACCAGCTATTACTGTATTTGTTAGGCCTGATAAAATCAAGAGCATCAAAACAACGCACAAAAGATGCTAAAGATTCATGTCACTAGAGACTCCAAAGATCCATACCAAAGATGTCAAAATTTTATATCAGAGATTCCAAACAAATATACTGTATCAAGGACACCAAAGCAAATATATCAAGAACGTCAAAACAACAATATACCAGAGACTCCAAAGATTTATACTTGTATCCTGATAGAGTCCCAACCCGCTCTATCATATTCTAACTGGCCATTATTTTGTTAGGTCCGATAGAACACTAAAAATTCATGCTAGGAACTCCAAAGATTCATACCAGGAACTCCAAAGATTCAAACCAGAGATACCAAGAATTTATACCAGGAATGTCAAAAATTCATAAAAGAGATGCCAAACAAATATCCAAAAACGTTGAACCAACATACAAGGGACTCTAAAAATTCATACTTGCATCCTGATAGAGCCCCAACTCTGCTCCATCACATCATAACCAGCCATTATTTGTTAGGTCTGATAAAATCAAGAACACCAAAATAATGCACCAAAGATGCTAAATATTCATGCCAGTAACTCCAAAGATTCATACAGTACTAGAGACTCCAAAGACCCATACCAAAGATGTCAAAATTTTAGATAAGAGATTCTAAACAAATATACTGCAAGAACTCCAAAGCAAAATATATCAAGAACTCCAAAACAACAACATTTTAGAGACTTCAAAGATTTATACTTGCACCCTGATAGAGCCCCAACCCCGCTCTATCACATCTTAACCGGCCATTATTTTGTTAGGTCTGATAAGATGCTAAGATTCATGCTAGGAACTCCAAATATTCATACCAGGAACTCCAAAGATTCAAACCAGAGATACCAAGAATTTATACCAGGAATGTTAAAAATTTATAACAGAGATGCCAAACAAATATCCAAGAATGTCAAAACAACATACAAGGGACTCTAAAAATTCATACTTGCATCCTGATAGAGCCCCAACCCACTCCATCACAACCTAAACCAGCCATTACTGTATTTGTTAGGCCTGATAAAATCAAGAGCACCAAAACAATGCACAAAAGACGCTAAAGATTTATGCTACTAGAGACTCCAAAGATCTATACCAAAGATGTCAAAGTTTTATATCAGAGATTCCAAACAAATATACTGTATCAAGGACACCAAAGCAAATATATCAAGAATGTTAAAACAACAATATACTAGAGACTCCAAAGATTTATACTTGCATCCTGATAGAGTCCCAACCTGCTCTATCACATTCTAACCGGCCATTATTTTGTTAGGTCCAATAGGATACTAAAGATTCATGCTAGGAACTCCAAAGATTCATACCAGGAACTCCAAAAATTCAATACCAAAAATTCATAATAGAAATGCCAAACAAATATTCAAGAATGTCAAAACAACATACAAGAGACTCTAAAAATTTATACTTGCGTCCTGATAGAGCCCCAACCCCACTCCATCACATTCTAACCAGCCATTATAGTATTTGTTAGGTCTGATAAAATCAAGAACACCAAAATAATGCACCAAAGACGCTAAATATTCATGCCAGTAACTCCAAAGATTTATACAGTACTAGAAACTTCAAAGACCTATACCAAAGATGTCAAAATTTTAGATAAGATATTCCAAACAAATATATTGCAAGAACACCAAAGCAAATATATCAAGAACTCCAAAACAACAACATATTAGAGACTCCAGAGATTTATACTTGCACCCTGATAGAGCCCAAACCCCGCTCTATCACATCTTAACCGGCCATTATTTTGTTAGGTCTGATAGGACGCTAAGATTCATGCTAGGAACTCCAAAGATTCATACCAGGAACTCCAAAAATTCAAACTAGAGATACCAAAAATTTATACCAGGAATGTCAAAAATTCATAACAGAGATGCCAAACAAATATCCAAGAACATCGAAACAACATACAAGGGACTCTAAAAATTCATACTTGCATCCTGATAGAGCCCCAACCCCGCTCCATCACATCCTAACTAGCCATTATTTGTTAGGTCTGATCAAGAGCACCAAAACAACGCACCAAAGACACTAAAGATTCATGCCTGGAACTCCAAAGATTCATACTAAAGATTTCAAAGATTCATACAAAGATGTCAAAATTTTATATCAGAGATGCCAAACAAATATACTGCAAGAACTCCAAAGAAAAATATATTAAGAACTCCAAAACAACATATTAGAGACTTCAAAGATTTATACTTGCACCCTGATAGAGCCCCAACCCGCTTTATCACATCTTAACCGGCCATTATTTTGTTAGGTCTGATAGGATGCTAAGATTCATACTAGGAACTCCAAAGATTCATACCAGGAACTCCAAAGATTCAAACTAGAGATACCAAAAATTTATACCGGGAATGTCAAAAATTCATAACAGAGATGCCAAACAAATATCCAAGAACGTTGAAACAACATACAAGGGACTCTAAAAATTCATACTTGCATCCTGATAGAGCCCCAACCCCACTCCATCACATCTAACCAGCTATTATTTGTTAGGTCTGATCAAGAGCACCAAAACAACACACCAAAAACACTAAAGATTCATGCCTGGAACTCCAAAAATTCACACTAGAGATTCCAAAGATTCATACTAAAGATATCAAAATTTTATATCAGAGATGCCAAACAAATATACTGCAAGAACACCAAAGCAAAATATATCAAGAACTCCAAAACAACAACATATTAGAAACTTCAAAAATTTATACTTGCACCCTGATAGAGCCCCAACCCCGCTCTATCACATCTTAACTGACCATTATTTTGTTAGGTCTGATAGAATGCTAAGATTCATGCTAGGAACTCCAAATATTTATACCAGGAACTCCAAAAATTCAAACCAGAAATACCAAAAATTTATACCAGAAGTGTCAAAAATTCATAATAGAGATGTCAAACAAATATTCAAGAACATCAAAACAACATACAAAAGACTCTAAAAATTTATACTTGCGTCCTGATAGAGATCAAGAACACCAAAACAATGCACCAAAGATGCTAAAGATTCATGCCAGTAACTCCAAAGACTCATACTAAAGACTCCAAAGACCCATACCAAAGATGTCAAAATTTTATATCAGAGATACCAAGCAAATCAAGAACACCAAATCAAGAACGCCAAAACAACAACATACCAGAGACTCCAAAGATTTATACTTGCATCCTGATAGAGCCCCAACCTTGTCTATCACATCCCAACTGGCTATTATTTTGTTAGGTCTGATAGTACGCTAAAGATTCATGCTAGAAACTCCAAAAATTTAAACCAGAGATACCAAAAATTTATACCAGAAATGTCAAAAATTCATGCAAGGATATCAAACAAATCTGCCAAGAACACACAAAGATTTATATCAAGAACGCCAAAATTTATACCAAGACTTCAAAGTTTGTACCAGATATTCCAAAGATTTATACAGAAATTTCAAAAATTCGCACCAGAATATGAAATATACAGTATTAGCTAACTAAGAGCAAAATAAAATAAAAAAATAAACTTACATGATGTCGATCTGTGTAATTTAGTTTATATAACCGTATTAATTACATAATTATAACTGGATAAAGCATGTCATTAGAAAGTCTAATTAGTCAATCATGTGAATAAAGCATATCATTAAAAAGTCTAATCAGCCAATCATGTTTAAGCGATCATATATTAACATACTGTACAGTACAGTATTCTATTTTTTTTGGTATATACAGTATCTCTGGTTTGAATCTTTGGGATCTCTGGTATGAATCTTTAGAGCTCTTGATACGAATATTTGGAGTCTGGTTGAATATTTGGAATCTCTGGTACTGTATGTACTGTATTTTTGAAACCATTGGTATAGGATTTTTAGAGTTTCTACTGTAATACAAATCTTGGGTGTCCCTGGCATAAATCTTTGTAGTCTGGTACTGTATGAATCTCCGTAAGTTTCTGGTATACACTTTTGGTGTCCTTGATATTTTGTTTTGATATTCTTGATACACAGTATTAATTTAGCACAGCATTTCTGGTATACTGTAAATGTTTGATATTCTTGGTATGAATATTTGATATCTCTGGCATAAATCTTTAGTGTTCTTGGTGTCTTGTTTTGATGTTCTTGATTTTATTAGACCTAACAAATACTATCCCTTAAATTGTTTTGCAGCCAAATTTGCCTGCAAACTTTTTTAAATTTTAAATTTTTCTAATAAAATT